TTCCCCCCCCCCCCCCCCCCCCCCCGCCTCCCTCCCCCTCTGGATTCGACTATGAGCTGATCAGTAGGTTTTGGGTGCTATTTTGACGAGTTAGCGATATTTTTTGTCTAAAATTTATAAATCGTGTCAGTGGATGGTTTGCAGCTGATGGTAAGAAGTTGTTGTTTAAAACGAACGGCATGCATGTTATGGACCTGTTGATGACGCTGAACAGGCTGTTGGGCAATCCAGAATTTGGCAAAAGCGGAATTCGACCACTTCCGAAGATCGATTGATTTTTGTTTAACAGAAAAATGAATTTTTCTGTTTTGTTAGAAAACTGTTTAGTTGGTTTTCGAAGTGTCATAGTAGCAGACATATAACGATCAGGAGGAGAAGGCTGGACAGTTGCGGGAAAAGCACGCAACCACCTTTTTATTAGTACAACGAAATCAAAAAAAAAGACACAAACGCCGTAATTATCTGGCAGCAGTTCCAGGCTGCTACCGAACAAAAGTGACAATCGAAACGGCAACAGCTCCAAGCTGCCGCCGCACAAGTTCTTGGAACACAAAACAATTTTTGTTTCATTTCTAATCACCACATTAAATGTCACGGAGGGGGAACTCGACGGGACATTTGCATATCATAGGGAACCAAAGGGCAACTGGACAAGGCGAAGGGATTTAGCCACCATCTTCATTTCCTTGCTACTCGCTCCTTCTTCCTTTTACAACACAAACAATCTCAAGACATATGGCTCAGGATAAACGTAGTTGCGCCTGCTGTATTGGAATACATCGACAATATATACATTTCGGGATTACTATGAGGCGGATCTTGCATCGTAGCGATTGATATCCTAATGTTTGCTTTTGGAGTACATGCTTGCTGAAAAGAACGAAATCTGAGAGGGGTATTGGTTTTTGCCAAATTTTTTGATAGTCTTTTATGATGTAAAATGGGGCAACAAAAATAAAGCATAGCGACTTCATCTTTAGCCAAATTTCTATTGTTTTTTTTTTCCAGATATTTGCCAAAAGTAATTGGTGATCAAAAGTTGCTGTATAAATTTGCCTCGCTTTAAATGAAAAAAAATATAATAAAACTCGAAAATTAGTTTTGCAACAAAGAAAACACCTAAAAGCCACATTCCTGTGCATGAGTTTTTCTGCGACAGACTCAAGGTTTTTTTAGGTACCTAATTGTTAATCGTTTTCCAGAAAACTCGACAAATAAAAAGACTAAAAAAATTTGCCGCTTGGAGCTCAAAACATTTTGCTGAAGAGAAAAATTTAGCAGTGACCGAAGAGCGTCGACGCATTCTGCTTAATTTAGCTGCAGCACAATTCTAGTAAAGTGGTGCAGTTTTGGTCTAATGTGAGCGATACTGTCTAGGAAATGTACGCCAGGAAGAACAGTTGAACTGATCTTGTGTCTAGAATGTGAGATTAGAGATGGGAAAAGCGAATTATTGAATGGCGTACCCACAATTTTAAAAGAAAAATAAGAAAGCTACCTGTGGGAAGCGGAAACAATAACGGTTGAACGGCTTCCGGAATCGACCTTTAACTCCTCATGTCTTAGCATATGCGAATAAAAGATTACTCATATAGGAAACAGTGTGTGTGCGTTTTTTTTTTTGATGAGGAAATTGACGTTGAAACGAATGAACGAACGGGTAAGCGATTGATTGCTGAGAGTAGAATAATCTTCAGCCAGTGAGAGCAACGCTACTTGTTACTGCATTATTGCAAAAGTAATAAAAGCTAGAAATCGCTGGAATTTTATCAGTAATGAAAGTTCGTCGATTCGATGCGCGGCTGCATTTTGTTCATGCTGCATTACGGCTTAGTAGCAGCGGGAATAAGGTACATTCCTCTGGACGTGAATGAGATTGTTGTCTACGCAAAACCTGGTTCGTTCCTATTAATTTAATTCTGGACTGCTTAGAATTTACATCTGGAATTTTAGTGGGGCGCTTTCTTGTCCCTATTTGTCAAATTTCAGAAAACTGGCTTTTTTTGTATAGCCTAATTACACTAACAGTCTGCCTTTCCCGCTTTCTTGATTTTTGAGCTCACTCAGTCAAATGCATATTCAACAAGTAGCGAGTTGGAGCCTGTGCTGATGAATCTTGTTCTAGCCGGTACGGAGAGCTCTGTTTGTGTTTACGGCTAAGGGATAAAACACAGAGAACTTCTGTATGTGCTAATTAAATGTATGGCCTGTAATTCGCTTTCCAACTTGATATGGCACTTCGTGACCAAGACGCAGTTCCTCGTTCTTTTGGCAAGTGTTTCTCGACTGAAACTTTGCAACCAGTGAAGCTTCAGAGGTTTAATTTCTTGTCGATGATTATCAATCCACCTTTCCTATCAGCTTGATGAGCTTAGCCATCAGATTAGTACTGTGTCTCAGTGGTTCTACAAAAGGATTCCAAAAAATCTTTGTGCAGGTGATGCGATACAGTTATCGAGAATCACAGAAGATGACAGCGAAGATTTACGGATTAACTGTGGTGCAACGCGTCGGCAGTGGCTTTCAACCCGTCAGTTTTTACAAGAAAGTTTTAAATATGGCAGCTGTTAGCTGGCGTGCAGAGATTTCTAACGGCAGTCGCTTCGTCAGAACGAGAGAAAAGAGTTTCTTTATATCGGCGCAAAAAGGAAAATTCAGTTTTTCCGGAAAGTCGTGAAGTCTATTTTTTCCTGTTCTGAAAATTGTAAAATTTTCACGCTTATAGTTTTCTAGCAAAAGCAAAAACAAAGTTAAGCCTTGGGAGAAATAATGGTTAGGCGTAGTGTATGTGTCACATAAAAGAATTTGGTAGGTAATTAAGGGAATCCGTAAGTGGAATATTCACTAATCCGTAAGTGGAATATTCGCTCTCTATTGGAAGTGAGCACATTCAAGTGAACATTCGAGAAATAATACAGGCCGTAACAAGTACCAACAGTAGCCATAAGCTGAGAATGCATCGATGGTGAGCATGCTTTGGCCATGCGTACCTTTTTATGTATGAAACGCAACGATGAAATATTAGAGTATCGAAGCAGTGCGCATATTTATACGAGCAGCCTGAGCAGTGCTTCGATACTTTGTTGTTTCATCGTCGCGTTTCTCCTCGCCACTGATGCAGCTGGCAATTTCACCATTCTTCTCTGGCTTGGATGCTTTGGGTGCTTAATATAGTTGTACTGTAGTGAGAATTACTGTGAAGAAATATAGCTA